CTACGGCTGAGATCCAGACTGTGTTAAACAACTACGATCGCTGTGAAATTCTAACTTGTGTTTATACTTCTATAGCTACGGCTGAAATACAGGCTGTGTTAATCAATTACTATCGCTTTGAAATTCTGACTTTTGTTTATACTTCTATAGCTACGGCTGAAATCTAGGCTGTGTTAATCAATTACTATCGCTTTGAAATTCTAACTGGTGTTTACAATTCTATAGCTACGGCTGAACTCCAGGCTGCGTTAATCAATTACTATCGCTTTGAAAATTCTAACTTGTGTTTACAATTCTATAGCTACGGCTGAAATACAGGCTGTGTTAATCAATTACTATCGCTTTGAAATTCTAACTTATGTTTACAATTCTATAGCTACGGCTGAAATACAGGCTGTGTTAATCAATTACTATCGCTTTTAAATTCTAACTTGTGTTTATACTTCTATAGCTACGGCTGAGATCCAGACTATGTTAATCAATTACTATCGCTTTGAAATTCTAACTTGTGTTTACAACTTTTATAGCTACGGCTGAAATACAGGTTGTGTTAATCAATTATTATCGCTTTGAAATTCTAACTTCTGTTTATAATTCTATACCTACGGCTGAACTCCAGACTGTGTTAAACAACTACGATCGCTTTGAAAATTCTAACTTGTGTTTACAATTGTATAGCTACGGCTGAAATACAGGCTGTGTTAATCAATTACTATCGCTTTGAAACTCTAACTTGTGTTTACAATTCTATAGCTACGGCGGAAATACAGGTTGTCTTAATCAATTACTATCGCTTTGAAATTCTAACTTGTGTTTATACTTTTATAGCTACGGCTGAAATACAGGTTGTGTTAATCAATTATTATCGCTTTGAAATTCTAACTTGTGTTTATAATTCTATACCTACGGCTGAAACACAGGCTGTGTTAAACAACTACGATCGCTTTGAAAATTCTAACTTGTGTTTACAATTGTATAGCTACGGTTGAAATACAGGCTGTGTTAATCAATTACTATCGCTTTGAAATTCTAACTTGTGTTTACGATTCTATAGCTACGGCTGAAATACAGGCTGTGTTAATCAATTACTATCGCTTTGAAATTCTTACTTGTGTTTACAATTCTATAGCTACGGCTGAACTCCAGGCTGTGTTAATCAATTACTATCGCTTTGAAATTCTGACTTGTGTTTATACTTCTATAGCTATGGCTGAGATCCCGACTGTGTTAAACAACTACGATCGCTTTGAAAATTCTAACTTGTGTTTACAATTCTATAGCTACTGCTGAAATACAGGCTGTGTTAATCAATTACTATCGCTTTGAAATTCTAACTTGTGTTTATAATTCTATAGCTACGGCTGAAACAAAGGCTGTGTTAAACAACTACGATCGCTTTGAAAATTCTAACTTGTGCTTACAATTCTATAGCTACGGCTGAAATACAGGCTGTGTTAATCAATTACTATCGCTTTGAAATTCTAACTTGTGTTTAACAATTCTATAGCTACGGCTGAGATCCAGACTGTGTTAAACAACTACGACAGGCTGTGTTAATCAATTACTATCGCTTTGAAATTCTAACTTATGTTTACAATTCTATAGCTACGGCTGAAATCCAGACTGTGTTAAACAATTACTATCGCTTTTAAATTCTAACTTGTGTTTATACTTCTATAGCTACGGCTGAGATCCAGACTATGTTAATCAATTACTATCGCTTTGAAATTCTAACTTGTGTTTACAATTCTATAGCTACGGCTGAAATACAGGCTGTGGTAATCAATTACTACCGCTTTGAAAATTCTAACTTGTGTTTACAATTCTATAGCTACGGCTGAGATCCAGACTGTGTTAAAGAACTACGACAGGCTGTGTTAATCAATTACTATCGCTTTGAAATTCTAACTTGTGTTCATACTTCTATAGCTACGGCTGAAATACAGGCTGTGTAAATCAATTACTACCGCTTTGAAATTCTAACTTGTGTTTACAATTCTATAGCTACGGCTGAGATCCAGACTGTGTTAAGCAACTACGATCGCTTTGAAATTCTAACTTGTGTTTACAATTCTATAGCTACGGCTGAAATACAGGCTGTGTTAATCAATTACTATCTCTTTGAAATTCTAACTTTTGTTTATACTTCTATAGCTACGGCTGAGATCCAGACTGTGTTAAACAACTACGACAGGCTGTGTTAATCAATTACTATCGCTTTGAAATTCTAACTTATGTTTACAATTCTATAGCTACGGCTGAAATCCAGACTGTGTTAAACAATTACTATCGCTTTTAAATTCTAACTTGTGTTTATACTTCTATAGCTACGGCTGAGATCCAGACTATGTTAATCAATTACTATCGCTTTGAAATTCTAACTTGTGTTTACAATTCTATAGCTACGGCTGAAATCCAGGCTGCGTTAATCAATTACTATCGCTTTGAAAATTCTAACTTGTGTTTACAATTCTATAGCTATGGCTGAAATCCAGGCTGTGTTAAGCAATTACTATCGCTTTGAAATTCTAACTTGTGTTTATACTTCTATTGCTACGGCTGAAATACAGGCTGTGTTAATCAATTACTATCGCTTTGAAATTCTAACTTGTGTTTATACTTCTATAGCTACGTCTGAGATCCAGACTGTGTTAAACAACTACGACAGGCTATGTTAATCAATTATTATCGCTTTGAAATTCTAACTTGTGTTTATACTTCTATAGCTACGGCTGAAATACAGGCTGTGTTAATCAATTACTATCGCTTTGAAATTCTAACTTGTGTTTACAATTCTATAGCTACGGCTGAGATCCAGACTGTGTTAAACAACTACGATCGCATTGAAATTCTAACTTGTGTTTATACTTCTATAGCTACGGCTGAAATCCAGGCTGTGTTAATCAATTACTATCGCTTTGAAATTCTAACTTGTGTTTACAATTCTAAAGCTATGGCTGAAATCCAGGCTGTGTTAATCAATTACTATCGCTTTGAAATTCTAACTGGTGTTTACAATTCTATAGCTACGGCTGAACTCCAGGCTGCGTTAATCAATTACTATCGCTTTGAAAATTCTAACTTGTGTTTACAATTCTATAGCTACGGCTGAAATACAGGCTGTGTTAATCAATTACTATCGCTTTGAAATTCTAACTTATGTTTACAGTTCTATAGCTACGGCTGAAATACAGGCTGTGTTAATCAATTTCTATCGCTTTTAAATTCTAACTTGTGTTTATACTTCCATAGCTACGGCTGAAATACAGACTATGTTAATCAATTACTATCGCTTTGAAATTCTAACTTATGTTTACAATTCTATAGCTACGGCTGAAATACAGGCTGTATTAATCAATTGCTACCGCTTTGAAAATTCTAACTTGTGTTTACAATTCTATAGCTACGGCTGAGATCCAGACTGTGTTAAACAACTACGACAGGCTGTGTTAATCAATTACTATCGCTTTGAAATTCTAACTTGTGTTTACAATTCTAAAGCTACGGATGAACTCCAGGCTGCCTTAATCAATTACTATCGCTTTGAAAATTCTAACTTGTGTTTACAATTCTATAGCTATGGCTGAAATCCAGGCTGTGTTAATCAATTACTATCGCTTTGAAATTCTAACTTGTGTTCACAATTCTATAGCTACGGCTGAGATCCAGACTGTGTTAAACAACTACGATCGCTTTAAAATTCTAACTGGTGTTTATACTTCTATAGCTACGGCTGAAATCCAGGCTGTGTTAATCAATTACTATCGCTTTGAAATTCTAACTTGTGTTTACAATTCTAAAGCTACGGATGAACTCCAGGCTGCGTTAATCAATTACTATCGCTTTGAAAATTCTAACTTGTGTTTACAATTCTATAGCTATGGCTGAAATACAGGCTGTGTTAATATATTACTACCGCTTTGAAATTCTAACTTGTGTTTACAATTCTATAGCTACGGCTGAAATACAGGCTGTGTTAATCAATTACTATCGCTTTGAAATTCTAACTTGTGTTTATACTTCTATAGCTACGGCTGAAATACAGGCTGTGTTAATCAATTACTATCGCTTTGAAAATTCTAACTTGTGTTTACAATTCTATAGCTACGGCTGAAATACAGGCTGTGTTAATCAATTACTATCGCTTTGAAATTCTAACTTGTGTTTACAATTCTATAGCTACGGCTGAAATACAGGCTGTGTTAATCAATTACTATCGCTTTGAAATTCTAACTTGTGTTTATACTTCTATAGCTACGGCTGAGATCCAGACTGTGTTAATCAATTACTATCGCTTTGAAATTCTAACTTGTGTTTACAATTCTATAGCTACGGCTGAAATACAGGCTGTGTTAATCAATTACTATCGCTTTTAAATTCTAACTTGTGTTTATACTTCTATAGCTACGGCTGAGATCCAGACTATGTTAATCAATTACTATCGCTTTGAAATTATCGCCTTTGTTTTCTTTACAATTCTATAACTACGGTTGAAATCCTTACTATTATTTTGAAATTATATTTATAAATATAAATACTTGTAAATTATAGCTTATAAGTTATTGCCCATTTAGGAATTTAGATTTAATAAAGAAATAATAAGAACTGAATTAAAAATCGTGTAAAATTTTAACCGAAACGGTCGAGAGGCAACCAACGATTAGTAAGTAGAAATTTTCTTGTAAGGACCCTGGCTGTGGCTGAGCTATCCCAGCTCTAGACACCCTCACCATAAGGAGGTTCATTACAAGTGGCGCCCAAACAGGGACCCTTGACTTAAGAACACGATTCGAGAGCTGATCTACGGTATAGCACCGATTTC